CCCACCCCGGCCAACCTCCAACCCTTGGTTCTTTGTGCCTGGCTTCTCTCCATTCTCTCTCTGCCCACCCAGAATCCTCTAAGAGTTCCAGGCACTTTACATTGGCTGAATCCGGAGGGCGGGCGGGGCCAGTGGGAGGAAGGGGGAGGCAGGGGCTCCGTCTGCCTCCCCCGTTACAGCTCTCCTCCTCCTTCCCTTCCCCAGCACTGCAGTCCCCCATTGAGTACCAGAGACGGGAGAGCCAGACCAACAGCCTGGGGCGGCCAGGAGGGCCCGGGGTAGGGAGCCCTGGGCGGATGCGGCCTGGAGACCTGGCCCAGGTCAGCATGCACACACCTGTCAATGGCTCCCTCCCTTCCCTGCTGCTTTTGCCCAAAGGGGAGGTGCCCAGAGCACCCTTGCCCCTGGATGTAAAGGTACGAGAAACAGCCTCCTACTAGGGTAGGAAGGGGAGGGCATTTGTTCCTCCCACCCCATCTCCCCCCTTCTGCCACGCTCCTTTTGTGTGACTTTCCATCTTTACCCTCTCCGGATTAATTCCGGGGCAAGAGGAGGGTGATCTGGTTAGGGGCTTTAACCGGAAGAGGGGTGAGCGTCGGCTGGTGGCCTCTGCTGATCCTCAACTTGAATCTTCCTGCAGGCTCTCAGTGATGCCCCCCAGATTCCTCACAAGCCTCCAGCCCTCCCAGCCCCGAGCACCCCACCCGGTCAGGCCAGGCTGGCCAAGCTGGATGAAGATGAGTTATAACTGGTGAAGGAAGGCCTTGGGAATGGTGCTGATTCAGCCACTGGGCCCTCAAGGAATCGGAAGAGCATCCTGGCGATGCGCCAGGGTCCTTTCTTCCTGGTGTGTGGAGGATGGGCAAGGCTGGGAGAGAGCTCAACCCCAAGGGGAGTGCCTAGACCTGAAAGGACTCTTCTCTGCACAAGGAACACAGGATCCGTCAGCTCCACTCCGTGCATGGTTCCCCTCAAATGGAGGATATGTAGGGGCTTGGAGGGAGGGCTGGGGCAGGGACCAGAGAGACATGATTGGTTTTGTTTTCCAGTTTCCTGTGAATAAAGGTTTTGTTACATCACTAGGCTGCTGTCTTGGTGGTGGGAGATGGAGGGGCTGTGGTGGGGATGAGATTTGCTGGCCCTGGGAGGAGGGGTCTGAGGAGAGGAGAAGGTAGAAGCTGGATGTGGTGGCGCACACCTTTGATCCCGGCACTCAGGAGGCAGAGGCAGGCAGGTCCTTGTGAGGCCGGCCTGGTCTACAGCATGAGTCCTTGTCCAGCCTGGTCTACAGCGTGAGACCTTGTCCAGCCTGGTCTACAGCGTGAGACCCTGTCTCAAACAAAGGACAAACAGAGGGGTAGATGATCAAAGGAGACTCTGTCTTTGTCATCCACTGCAATGACAGCGTCGCTCGGTCCCCGCCTGGGGCTCAGGGGAAACTAGAGTTACTTTAATGTAGTCTCCCTTTATTCAGTCCTTCTAGGTTCTAGATTTATTCTTCGGTTCAAACTCCACCAGAAGGCTCACTTGTGACATCCTACTACCCAACACACACACACACACACACACACACACACACACACACACACACACACCTAGATACTAGTGTATAAAATACCCAGGGTACCTTTGTCTGAGGCTTCCATGTTCTGCCGAAGAACGGGATGGTGGAGAGAGGATCCAGAGTCTCCTTTGCCCTCTTCCGGGGGGGGGGGGTATGTCCACACTGAACAGGAGTGGGTTCTTCAAACCCAGACCTAAGAGTGGAGCGCCGAAGAGGTCTTTACCCCTCCCAGCTCCTGGCATGGCCCCTGGGACAGGGACAGCCAAGTGTACAGAGACCCAGATGGCCTCTGGGTCCCTATGTGTCTGTGTGTCCACTGTGTCCAGCAGTCCCCTGGGCTCAGTCACGTGGGCTGGAGCTTCCTCGGTAGACAATAGACTCCAGGGGTGGGAGGGTGTGGAGATGCTGGAGCCTCCCCACGGGCCCCGGGTCCCTCTGGCTGACAATGAGGGGAGGGATCCACAAGGGGGGGACAGGACGTAAGGCCCAGATAAGATTTCTGGGGAACAATGGGAGGAATTGAAGAGGAGAGGCCCACCCTCTCTGTACCCCACCCTGGGCTTTGGGGTCAGGGACTTGGGGAACCAGAGAGTTATGGGGGGGGGTTGCTAAAGTGTCTTTGGATGGAAGAGGGGATGACCCGCAAACAGCAGGAATGTGTGTCTCTTCGGGGACCACAGGTACATGAGGTGGGTGGGTGGTCCCTTTGTGCCCCCAGGGCAGCCAGGCTCACCAATGCCGGCTGTAATGGGGCAGCCGGGCCGGCAGCGAGGGGCGAGCCGAGCCGTTGGTTTAAACGTGTACTGCTGAATGCCTGCTTTGAGAAGAAACCTGGATGTCAGGAACAGGACTTCGGGGCTTTGCGGCTCCTATAAAATAAAAATTTCAAATTAGTTCAATGTTTCCCCTAAACCAGGCCCAGCCACCCCTACCTAGCAGAGAGGTGGGTAGGTAGTTCTCTGTCCCTGTCCTTGTTCACTGGGTATTAGCTTATACGACTGCTTTCTTGTTATAAAACACCTGTCTTGGGGTAAGCTTGCCACATGGGGAATGGGATTTGGGTGGGGAATCCCAACTGGCAATGAGCTCTGTACCCCACTGGTGGGAGTATTGCAGGAAAAAGACCACTGACCCAAAGAAACCAGCTGTTGTTGCTCCAAGCGTAAATGAGGAAAGGGCCCCCCCATGAAGAGGTGAGGATCCCCGGAAGTGGCTGTGGGTCTCTTATCTCTCTACCATTCCTCACAGCACGCCCCCAGGCTTCCAGGCAGTCAGATCCGGCTAAGGATGTCTGAGGAGGCGCCTAACAAGGACATTTTCCACCCAAGCCTGACCCAAGGAGGTACTCTGGAGAGTACTCCCTGCAGGTCCGGATTGGACCCTGCTTTATGGAGGCGGGCTCAGGACTAGAGGGGGTGGGGGGTAGGGGTGGGGGACAGAGGGGTATTTAAGACCGAGAGATACTGCAGGGGGCCAAGGACAAAAAAATGAGTGGGCCACTCGTCTCCGGGCCCTGCTCAGGTCCGGAAGAGGTTTCTGAGCTGAAGTCTCCGCTGAGCTCTAGGTTCAGGGAACCTCTCACCCACGCTCGCTTCCAGGAGCTTTTCGGGGGCGCAGAGGAGCCGGAGCTACCCGCGGCGGCGGAGCCCTGCCTACCCTGGCTGTGCAGGCTGCGGAGGAGGCGAGCCTGCGGCTTCTGCTCTGGGCCGGGGGCGTGGCGCGTGCTGCTGGCACGGGTCCCCCCGCTGCGCTGGGTACCCCACTACCGCTGGCGAGCCTGGCTGCTAGGGGATGCTGTGGCCGGAGTGACCGTGGGCGTCGTGCACGTGCCCCAGGGTGAGAGGCCCCAGCGGCGGCCCGTTGGGGGTTCCAAGCTATGGGGGGTGTCCAGGGAGGAGCCCCGGGGAGCTGAGAGTGGAGCATAAGGTGGTGGGTTAGTTGAGTCCCTGCCGGGTCAGAGAGGGAATTTGGGGCTCAGTTTGGGAGGAGGACTGTGGGACTCCATCATGTCCCCCCCCCCATCCCTCCTCCTCTGTGCAATCCTGTGAGACATCTAGGACTCTGTTCCACCTCAGAGAATCGAAGAGAGGCACAAAACCTGCCACCCAGGACGTGGGCAAGGATCTGTGACCTTGTCAGCCTCACGACCTCCCACTGAGGCCCATTAACCTCTCTGTTCCCTCAGAGTTAGAGTCCCCGATGCCAGCCCAAGAGTGTGGTGAAGGGCAGTACCTGGAGGCTATAGTCACCCCCCCCCAACACACACACACACACACACACACACACACACACACACACACACACACACACACGCCTTTCCTTCTACTTCCTCCTAGGCATGGCCTTTGCCCTCCTGACCTCGGTGCCCCCGGTCTTCGGACTCTACACTTCTTTCTTTCCGGTTCTCATCTACAGTCTGCTGGGCACCGGGAGACACCTGTCCACTGGTGAGCAGCCAGACTGCCCATGACTTCTCTTTAGGATGAAAA